ATATATATATATATATATATATATATATATATATATATATAAGTAATCACCATCATCATGAAATAGATGACACGCGTTTTAATTCGCGTCGCAAAAGCAACCTTATAGAAATCAGGAGGCTCTGCAGCGCCCGACAGTCCTCGATGAAACGCCCGCCGCAGCGATCCGGAGTCCCCGTTTACAAGCATGTGAACCTAGAGCGATGTGAACCAGAGCCTTCCTCCTTAAACCCCGGCATCGTTTGACCTACAAAGCGCCTCGGTCGTGCTGCAGTCCTGCGAGGGGGAAAGCGGGCAGCGCCGCACCGGAGCAGCCCAGTCTGTCCTGGAGCGACGCCCACTTCAGGCTTCAGCCGCGCCACACAATGGAGAAAACAAACGAACCTCCGGCTGCTGAGCACGCTGCGAGCAGAAATACACCAACACCTGAAGATAGGACGCTCAAAAACGCCCGGTTTTATCCCCACCCACCCCCCCTCGCACTTCACGCCGGAGGTCCCGAGCAGCGCGGAGGATTCGCCTGCTGCACCCAGCGAGAGGCTCCTTCTCAGGCGAGAGGTGTCGGCGAGACCCGCTTACGCCCCACTCCCAGACAAAAACCATCGATACTCACTGGTGGCTCGATTCACCCGGCGCCCGATAGTGTCTACTCGCCCCCAAATCTGCCACCATATCCATTTTCATTGATTGTTTTTTTTTATTTATACTTTCACCCTCCCTGCTCCTGTTTTCCCTCCCACCCCCGGTCCAGGGTCCACAGGCACTTCCTGCTCAGCCCTAAAGACCGAAACCCGGTCAGCGCGACTGGAGCTCCGTGCTGACGTGGGTGTTTATTAACAGGGTGCCCCGAAGGTTCAAGGAGCCATTTAAAGCCCCAGCGTCCCTCTAAAACCACCACTGAACACCCCCAGTGGAAAAAAATACATAAAAATCAGCAGACACCACACAGGTCGAAATGGATCAGTAAGAACAAAAATGTTGCTTTTATTTTTTTTGAAATATCTTTATTTTTTTCATTGCCATGGACGATACATTTATATGAATCCCTCACTAAACCTGAAATTACAGGACAAAAACATGTTTCATTCCCTGTAAATGACTTGAAAATAAACTCAAAAATAAGAAAAGCAAACATTCAGTGATATATTTCACTCGAGGCCTGAGAATGTGTTAAAGGTACTCATTGCTGTCATTCAGAGCAGGCTGGGGGAAAAGTAACAAAACTGCACAATATTTTTTTTTCCTTCATATTGATCCTAAATGAAACATTTGTAATGAACACTTGACAATATTTACCTGTAGAATCAGCTGGAAAGACTAAATTAGCTCAATACAACGTCCAAAAAAAAAAAAAAAAAAAAAAAAAAGGAGCAGTTTGGGATCAAGACATCAGAACATTTTAATGTACCGATATGCTCAAAAGGGCTTTGTTTACATTGAGTGTGGACCCGCATTTCAGAATTGTGTATCTGGAAAATAACTGGAATAATTTTTTTCAATCTGCACTATTTGATGCAGTTTGGGATAAATATTTATGTTTGGTTTCGCAGTTTGCAATGAATACCTTTAACATGATAGATTTTAGACAGTTTATTTTTTTTTTGGGGGGGGGGGGTTGTAAACAAGCAGCTGCATCAAGACGCAGTGCCGCTGGAGAATCCTGTGGGGTTCTTGGACTGCCAGCGCCACAGATCCTCACCTATTAAAAAAAAAAAAAAGGCAGATTAGTAAATTATTGAGAAGTCTTTCAGCATTAATCTGTGGCTATAAATGACTTGTAGTGTGTGCGTGTTGCAGGAGTTGTTTATCGGTGTAGCTATGCTTACACATTCTGTCCAAGTCGAACTGAGCCTTCCAGCCCAGCTCCTTCTCAGCCAGTTGAGGGTCAGCGAAACAAGATGCTACGTCTCCTCCTCTACGAGGTGCAATCTTGTACGAAATCTATATTTTTTTAAAAATGAACAAAAAACAAACAAAAAAAAAAACAAACATGCTCATTACATTTAAAAAGGCATAAACTGACATTTACGTAGACACCATCCTCATCTTACACTCTCAGAATAACAATCACGTTCAATCCTTCACAAAAGGACACAAAACTACCAAAAAATAAAAAAATAAAAAAAATCTGGATTTAAGTGGGGAGCAGAAGGGCTCTTTGGTGACTCACCTCCCTCCCTGATGCCTTCTCCATCGCTTTCACCATCTGGAGCACAGAGTAACCATTTCCTGTTCCAAGGTTGTAAACCTGCAAACAGAAAAAAAAAAAGAAAAAGAAAAATGAGCAACTGGAAATTTATGCAGTTTGCACAAATTAAAAACAAATAAACGTTTAACTCAAATGCACCTTGCATCCACAGCTGTCCTTCAACTTTTTCAAAGCGGCTATGTGTCCCTTTGCCAGATCTACAACATGAATGTAATCACGCACACCTAAGAATAGTTAAAAGAAAAAAAAAAAAAGTTAGCACGATTGTCATCATTTGTTTATTTAGGAACAAATAAAATCAAGAGCGATGCCGTTACCTGTGCCATCAACCGTGTTGTAGTCATTTCCAAACACACTGAGAAACTCTCTCCTTCCAACTGCCACCTGTGAGCGTCATAAACTGGGGTTTAATGGGACGACAGCGGAGCGTGTATTCATAAAGGCTGCAGTTCGGGGCGATTTTGTTAACCTGAGCAACGTATGGCAGCAAGTTGTTTGGGATACCCTGAGGATCCTCGCCAATCATACCAGAATTATGAGCGCCGATGGGGTTGAAATAACGAAGCAGCACCGCGTTCCAGTCCTGTATGCACAGAGGTGATGACAACAACAAGCTGACAGGAGCAATGCAGCTCTGAATGCGTTTCAACATTGTGATGAGCACCTTCTCCGCTTTACAGTGGTCCTTGATCATCTCCTCGATGAAGTACTTGGTCTTGCCGTAGGGGTTGGTGCAGGCCCCTACAGGGTGATGCTCATCTATTGGAAGGCGCTGGGGGTCTCCGTAAACTGTGGCCGAGCTGCTGAAGACCAGATTGTGCACCTTGTGAGCCTGCATCACCTGAGAGACATGCAGATGCACACAAACACGGCACAAACATACAGTCAGCAGGCCAGCACACACGCCTTCATGAAATGGCCAGGCATGAAAGGTTTGATTTCAGCAGACGGGTGAGCTTCGAACATTAAAAACAAATACAGGTAGTGCTGTTAGCAAACTTGGTTTCAAATAATGCATGTAGCTTAAAGGGGGGAGATTAGCACACAAACAGCTCAGTTAAGGAAAACAAAACAAAAAAAAGGTGGAACATGCAAAAAGAATAAAAAAAAAACAAACAAACGCAAAGAAGATGATCGTGTCAAATCAGATGAGGAAGGTGCAAAATTAAACTGACCTCAAGTAAATTTATGGAAGCAGTGAGGTTGACTCTGTAGTACCGCAGCGGCTGCTCCACGGACTCCCCGACCGCCTTCAAGCCAGCAAAGTGCATCACAGCACTGAAGGAATGCTGCGTCGCAGATTTACACGTCAATACATAATAGAAACGCGTTACACTTTTAAAAGAATTCTTTGACGCCAACAGTTTTTTTTTTTTTTTGTTCCTAAAAACGAATCTTTCAACTAATGCCGACATAATGAAATCTAGCTCAAACACTAAATTTATTCAGGTCGTTTAAAAACAGATAAGGCAGATAAAATGGCCACTACTGCAGATGTCTATCCTGAAGTTAAATTGGTAATTAAGGAGTTGAATCAGCTCCAACGAGCAGGGCTGTATTAACATTCTGACCTTTTCGAAGAGTTTTTCCAAGCCGGGGCGGTCCAGAAGGTCGAGATTGTGAAACTCGATGCTAGTGTTCAGAATCGTTTCTATTCTTCGTATGCTCTCCGGCACCCCCCCCTCTCCTGCACACAGTGACAACAGGTATTGCTGTAATGACCTGTTGGACTCGTTACTTAATGATAACTTTGAAAGAATATTCCTCTGGTGATGGTTCTCACCTTTTACAGCGTTACTAAAGTTATCTACCACGACTGGCTGGAATCCGGCTTCAATGAGCTCCACCACACAGTGACTCCCGATGTATCCAGCTCCACCCGTGACCAGCACCTTCTCTGCCATCTTCAGGGTCTGTCACAAACAGATTTATTATTCAGCAATCCCTTCAATTACTGTTTTTTTAGTGGCTTCAGCTCTGCCTGATCCCCTCTGAACACATTGTTAAATCCAATCGACAGGTACGTGACTCACCTGTACAACAGGTCAGAACATTAAACCTGTCCAACTACATGGAACAATATCATAAAAGCAATGTGTGGTTAGCAGCCATTTATATATTCATATAGTGAGCATGCATTTTTTTGTTTTAATTAAAAAGTGTAAATCTGGTACTTCCTTCTCTTACTGTCTCATAGTTTTATTTCCTTAAGATTAAGTGTGTCAGCAAATCTTAAAAAAAAAAAAAAAAAAAGCTTACAAACTGAACTCTGAACACACAAACACTTAAAGTTTAACCACAGCCTGCTCACATTTCAAGCTGTGTGTAAAATACTCACCAAATGTTGATGTAAAGAAGCTAAATAGTCGCTGCCGGCAGAGTTTGGTAGTGAAACGGTGAGTTTAGCGTCAAACTCAAGATTTTATCTGTGTCTTCATTCAGAAAAGGCTTCTCTTCTTTAAGAAAAGTCACAACTTCCTGGTAAACGTGGAGGAGCGTTAAGTAAGCGATTAATGCGCAGCTTCCGGTATGCGCGTCTTCAAATTAAAATAATAAGCGTAGCTAAATGTAAAAATAAACTTCTAAAGATTATTTTAGTTTGAAATAAATTGTTGTAATACATAATAAATTATATATTTTAATTATAAATTTAAATAAATCGTATTGTTTCTATAAAAATATTGTGCTTAGATTTTATTTTGAAGCAAAAACAGAATGTAGTGACGCGTCAATGAGAAACTTTACGGTGACTGGTACGTGGGTTCGTCACGTACTATGACGTCAAAGGGTAGAAAAATAAAACCACGCCCCTGTGCAGGCACACAGGGAAGTGTTTGTTCTGAGCATCCACCTCTGGCACACCTCAGATGGCAAAAGAAAAAGTGCCACGTTTCTAAAAGCAGTCTTTTGCAGCAGAGGCAGTTCTGCTGAATTAGACCAACATTAAGTGTAAATGATAGTTTTCCTGCCCCAGACAGGCGTTCAAGAGAAAGTTTAATGTCGCTGTGTTGTTATCAATAACCATATGCACTCATTGTCTTAACATGAAAATTTAACACCTGGGTTTACAAAAATACAAAATTCTTTTTTATTTTTTTCAAAAATAAAAAACTGGTTACCGGTTCACTTTCGAATCCAGTTCAAAATCCTCATGTATGTCTACAAATCACTGAACAGTGTATTCTGATTTACCTCATTTTGTATTTTGCTTTGTGTGTTACCTGTTGTTTTGTCTGTACAGCACTTTGGTTGGCCTTGTTGCTGTTTTAAGTGCTTTATAAATAAAGTGGTATGGTATGGTAAAAATAAACCCAAAGGCTTATAAGATAACTTAATTGGATCTTTTTCTTATAAACTTTCTCTTAAATCTGAAAATGGTGACAACAAATGACTTTTTTTTTACATTTTAAGAGCTTGGTTTTTGTAAATAAGGCTACTTTTAAACTAAACTTAACTTGTGTGTTGTTACTTATTTATCAGGTCTCTAGTAAATGAGTCCCTGAGGCTCAATGGGATTAACCTGTCTAAATAAAGGTTGAATGAACGGATTAAACAAATTTATTCACCTCCAGACGCAGGAAGAGGGACACCTGCATCATGAAGGACCCCACTCACCCAGCACACACTGCTTCCCTCAGGCAGAAGGTTGAGGAGCACAAGTGTAGAACCACTAGGTTGAGGAACAGCTTCTACCAGGAGGCTGTTAGACTCATGAATCCCTAATCAGGACTATCACTTTGAAAATTACTGTGAAAAAAAATCACTATGAAAACAAATCACTGTAATGCCACTTGATTGTTGATATGTGCTGCTGACTATCCATGAAGCTGATTTATTTCATGTTGCTGTGTTCATTCATCCTCATCGGCTCACACAGACTCGTGTTCATGCTGCTGTTATTTGGCACATTGTTTTGTACTATGAGTGCTTAGTGTATTCTTAGTTTAGCATATGTCTTAGTACATATCTTAGATCTTTTTACTGTTTTTCTTTACAATTTGTTTTTTTGTTGGATGTAACTGTGACCCTGTGTACATTAGATACACCACATGTACCACATGTGGTGTGAATAACAATAACGCCACCTTGACGATGTACTGAATATGAGCTTTTGCTCCTATTTCACAAATATTTCATTGTTAAAATCAGTTAACGGAGAATTTTTTAAAACATAAATAGTTAATCACTACATTTATTCTGTTTCTCTTTGTTTCAAACAGTGGTGTGTTTGCTTTCATTTAAATTTAAATCAATTTCCCTGTGTTGGAAAAACCGTTTGACTGAGTCTCATGTTCAGGAACATTTACTTACTTCCCACACTTTATATTTAAAATGTATCTGCAAATAATAAATGTTTGTGTCCCACAAACCGTGCATATGTTTTCTATCCTGTGTCATTTCTGAAGCCAGGGTGACAGACTGGCCTGGGCACTTGAATAAAGCCAGCAGAAATCTGAGCAAAGAAACATAAAAGCCAACAGATGTCTGCGAGATGGAGCTTGCTTCCTTCCTTTGCTGCAAATGCTGTTTCTTGCTTAGTGAGGAATTTGGATCAGATGGAGAAATTTGAAGAGGGTAAACAACTCGGCGATATGATTCAGCGGGGGTATAGAGTAATAAGAAGAGAAACCACTCAGAAGAAGACCGCACATAAGCAAGAATTTAAAACTAGGTCGAGAAACTGGAGTGACATCTTTTATATGAATGCAATTTATTTTAGAACTATATTGCTTTTGCTTTATGTGGCTTCAGTTTGTTTCTTCAGAATGTATTTCTGACTTTGATAAGTGTTTTGAAGTAAACGTGCACCTGTTCCTTCACCTGATGCCTCGCAAAACAGAGTGGCTGTGAGAAGGAGGCAAAATGTGTAGGGAACATCTAGAAAAATCTGTCCAAATACAGAGAGAAGCCTTGTTTAACACGGCCGCCACAGCTAATCCATCCATCCATCCATCCATCCATTATCTTTACCCGCTTCTTCCTTTTTGGGTCGCGGCCACAGCTAATCAACTTTAACTAACAGAAAAATGACTCTGAGTTAATTTGACAGATACTGAGCTAAAATTTGTTGTTGCTGCAGCTGAGAGTCATTCCCAATACATACAATGGTGGTTTAAAGTTTGTGAACCCTTTAGAAATTTCTATTATAGACATTTTTTTTTTCTGCAAAAACATGACCTAAAACATCATCAGATTTTTATATAAATCTTTAAAGAGAACCCAATTAAAGAAATGAGACAAAAATATTTTACCTGGTCATTTATTTATTGAGGAAAATGATCCAATATTACATATTTGTGAATTTAAAAAATAGGGATCTATCAAAGTCGGCTCTTCACAACATGTTTGTGGAAGTGTATCATGGAATGAACAAATAAGATTTCTGAGGACCTCTGATGCTCATCAGGCTGGAAAAGTTTACAAAACCATATCTAAAGAGTTTGGACTCCACCGATCCACAGTCAGACAGATTGTGTACAAATAGAGGAAATTCAAGACCATTGTTATCCTCCTCAGGAGTGGTTGACCAACAAAGATCAATAGTCGGCGAGGTAACAAAGGACCCCAGGGTAACTTCTAAGCAACTGAAGGCCTCTCTCACATTGGCTAAAGTGAATGTTCATGAGTCCACCATCAGGAGAACACTGAACAACAATGGTGTGTACGGCAGGTTTGCAAGGAGGAAGCCACTGCTCTCCAAAACGAATATTGCTGCTCGTCTGCAGTTCACTGCAGATCACATGAACAAGCCAGAAGACTGTTGGAAGAATGTTTTGTGGCTGGATGAGACCAAAATATAACTTTTTGGTTTAGTTGATAAGTGTTATGTTTGGAGAAAGGAAAACACTGCATTTCTGCAGAAGAACCTCATCTCATCTGTGAAACATGGAGGTGGTAGTATCATGGTCTAATAATTAATTAATAGTTAATTGATCTATTAACATTTGATGATGCTTATATCATATCTATACAGAAATATAGAAAATTCAAAAGGGTTCACAAACGTTCAAGCACCACTGTAAGTGTTGACTGCAGTCATTTCAATTCTCTTGACAAAAGTCCACCACCATCTGTCCTTCCTGGTTTCTTTCCTTGACACCAAACCTACCCATCACTTCCTCATCCCCTCTGTTGCCCTCACCAACTTGTCGGTCTGCTCTGATCACCACTCGCTCCTCCCTGGAAAGACTCTTGATTACTTCATCCAGATCCTTCCAGAATTTCTCTTATTCCTCCACATCACATCCAACCTGTGGAGCATAACCACAGACAACAGTTAGCATCAGACCTTCAACTTCTACTTCACATCACCCTATCTGACACTCTTTTCACCTCTACTACATTCTTTGCCAACTCCTCCTTCAGGACCATTCTTACTCCATTTCTCTTTCTATCCACACCATGGCAAAACAGTTTAAATCCTGCTCCAATGCTGTGAGCCTGGTTGCCCTACACTTTGTCTCTTGGACATGTTAACATCTACCTTCCTTCTCTGCATCATGCCAGCCAGCTCTCTACCTTTGCCTGTCATTGTCCTCACATTTAGAGATGCCACCCTCAGCCCTTCATTCTTGACTTTCCTCTTCTTCCTCTGTCTACTGACACATTTACCTCCTTGTGGTCTTCGACTAAACAGCAGCACAATTCCCGCCATCACCCTGCTTGTCAACAGCACCGGTGGCAGTCGTCGTTAACCTGAGCCTCGACCGATCCGGTATGGTGTCGCTTAGATAAACTCGCATGTTAGTTGTGGCAAAAGTGTTTTAAGTCGGATGCTCTTCCTGACACAACTCTCACCATTTCACCCGTAGGTGTTGTGCGTTTTGTGTTCATAAACAGACCCTAAATTTGGAAAATGGACTAATGTGGTTTTGCTGTTTTTATTTATCCTCAATCAAGGTTTTATCAGTAAAAAATGTTCAGTAATTTTATTAAGTACTTTACGTATACATTCAATTAACTCCATAACATAGAATGTAAGAAATTACACAAAATATATGACAACACAATAAAATAAATCTTATTTAAATGTCAACTTGGAGACATTTGTTTTTTTCTTCTTATTGTCTCAATGGCTGCCTTCAGAAATTATTAGTGTATAAATAAAAAGCCTATGTTTATCTCTTTGTATTTGTACTATATATTTAGAGATATCCTTTGATGTTTGTTTACATTTTTCATAAAATCATCCCCCAGTTTGATAATGTAACAAGACTGACATGTGCTCCACCCTGAAAACATAGAGAACTGTACATTTGTTCTCTGAGAAGAAAAAAAATAGAGTGATGGATGGATTGAAAGAGGGTGTGACCATCCACAGGGTGTCTGTCTGATTCTCTTTATCTCTCTCCACCTGAGTGCCAGTTAATCCTCCCCTCATCCCTCGGACTCCCAGCTGGATCCACCAGCTTCTCCTGAACGGCAGGCAGCATTAACGCCGAGGAACTTTCCCCCGCTGTCTGTTAGCAAAAAGCTGATTAGAGATTACAG